GGAGGCGGGGGTGAGGACGGGGAGCGGGAGGCCGGGAGTGCGGAGGCGCGGGGCGGGCGGCCGGGTGCGCGGCCCTGGTCCCGGGAGGCCCGGGGAGGCCCTGGGCCCCGCTTCTCCCCGGCGCCAGCCCAGGCGGGGCGCGTGGGCTCCTAGGGGCTGCGGGCCGGCTCCCTCCTGTCCCGGGAGCCTGCCCCGCCCTGGGGATGCAGGCGCCCCATCCGGCCACCCCGCTGCCCCTCCCAAGCCGCTGTGGTGGGTACTTCCGTTACCACCATTCGCCGTGAATGAAGCTGAGGCTCAGCCTAAGCTGCCCAGGGCCCTGCCGCTCCTTAGGCACCGAGTGGGTCTCCCTGCGTCCCTGTCCTGCATCCCCAGTCCCTGTATCCCCCGGTCCTTGCTTCTCTGGACCCGTCATCCCCGGGCCCCTGCCCTGCATCCCCGGTTCTTGCTTCCCCGGACCCTGCATCCCGGGTCCCTGCATACCCGGTTCCTGCTTCATCCCCGGTACTTGCTTCCCTGGACCCTTCATCCCCGTCCCTGCATCCCAGTCCCTTGCATCTCGGGATGTCAGAACTTGGCTGCCCCCGTACTCCACCCAGAGCCGACCACGACCATCCATGATGGATGCATCTGTGTTCTCCAGACAAAAACTAGTGTTTATTGATGATGAGAGGAATCTGGGCCCAAAGCAACATGGTGCTTATCCATAATTCCCCCACAACTTAGCCATGACACGGGGCCTCCACACACTTTAGAGATGAGGGGACCTCCATACACTTCAGAGATGGAGAAACTCAGGACCCTGAGCAGTTAGTGATTTCCTGGTGGCAGCTGGTCAGATGCAAAGCTGGAGGTCCCACTGGGTGCTTTTGTTTTTTTCCCAAATCGCATCTCTTTAATACTTTATTGTTTAAATGACACCTGATAGTTGTACCTGTGTATGGGGTACAGTGGAATAAAATATCACACTTTTTTTGAGACAAGGTCTCCTGTGTCCAAGGCTACCCTGTGTGGCAAAGGGTGATCTTGAACTTCTTAATCCCCCTGCCTCCACCTCCCACCTTCCAAGTGCTGGAATTACACATACCACCACATCCAGTTCATTCTGCCCTGGTGGGATGAAACCCAGGGCTTTGTGCCTGCGAGGCAGCTAATCTACAATTCCACCCAACTCTGTTCGTACTTTTCTCCATTAAATTAAGCTAAACTTGCATGTGGGCTTTATAACCAGGGAGTCTTCCTGCTGCTAAAGACTTTAGCCTTGAGGATGCCAGGCTATTAGGGAGCTTTCCCTTCTCCAGAACTTTGTAGCAGCCAGTCACACCGCATCAGTGATGGAGGGCGCTCCAGTCTTTAGAGTATTTCCCAGGTCTGTTCCCTGGTCAATATCCAGGCAGAAGCTCTGATTCCTCAAAATTCCTCATACATCTTCCCAAAATAACCTGAATATTTTGTTGATCCTGCGGCGATAACAAGCCACCAGCATTACCCTGGCCTCCTGAGTGCTTACCCATGGGGCCCTGGCTTGTGGCTCATGTGACCCTCAAGTTTGCCAGTCTTTCTCAGTCTGATGGCATGGTGCTGCTAACAGGAAAGAGGGAGGCCTCCTGGATGTCGGGAAGTAGCCATTGCCAGCGTGGGCAGATTCTGTTTTTATCCTTATTTAGCTGATGAAACTGAAGCTTAGAAGCAAAGACAGGATTTAAATGACGTCCTGACTCCAGGGACAGTTTTTAAATTGTGACGGGGGTCAATGATGAGAGGCCTCTGACTGAAGGCATCTGCCTCGGTCCGCTTTTTAAGACCCTCTCAGCATGTACTCTCCCTGTGTTCTTGCTATCCAGTACCACGTAGTTACTGCCTCTGACTGCTCTGGGATGATGACCAACCATCCAACTTTGTCCAAGATTGAATGATTGCTAAAACTGAGCCAGTTCCAGACATGAGGTGCTCACCCTGCTGGTTTGTCACTCACAAATTCTTTGCAGTAGCAGAGTGAGGTCCAGGCTGTGGCAGTCAGACAAGGATGAAAGTGTAAAGTTGGCTCTGCCTCCTGTTAGATGGGGCACTCTCTTGGCAGATGGACTTTTACGTCCATGGAAGACACTGGCTGGGGTCGGAGTTTGATTTGAGCCTTGGACTTTGAAAAATTTCTGATTACTAATTCTGATTCCTCTTTCATTCAATAAAATTTTTTTTGAGCGTGCAATATGGCAAACTTGGTTTTAAGTAACGGTGATGACAGTGGTGAGGGATAATGTGATTTTTATTCCCCTTACCCTCCTGGCATGATAGAACTTAAGCTCTTGGGGAGAGGCAAACATTACTGCACTAGTCACACAGGACACAGAACTCTGAAGAAGCACCTTGAAGTCAAGGACTGAAACAAGGTCTCTTGTGATTGGAGAAGATGGTAGGGTGATATCATTAAATTTCGATCTATGCATTTGCCTAAGGATGGTAAGGGGAATTTGGGAAGGGACCAAGGGGGTCCAGAGAATGGACATGTTGTGCAAATACCAAGTGGATTTTCTAAAAGGAAGACTGGAATGCAAAGAACTATGGATAGGAGGTGCTGAATTGTGACGCAGAGCAAACGTGGAGGGTTGGTAGTAGCCAGGCAGGAAGGACCTGTGTCTTGGGACTGGAGAAGACATGCGCTGATGCTGTGGAGTCATGCTGGGGATAGTTTCCTGAGAAGTTAGCTCACACATGGGCTTCCCAGCTCTGCCTTGGGGAGAAAACAAGCATGCAGGTTTGACTTTAATAAAAAGTACATTGTGGTCTGAAACACATTGTTTGTGACACAGTTTACCTTCCAGTTGGCCGTTGCTTTGCTGGTAGTGTTAAAACAGTATGATTTTAACTGTCTTTTAAGGTTCTGCTCTCTAAGATCTGGTTCTTGACCATGAACAGTCTATATTCTGATTTCTGTTCATTATCCTCAGTCCAAATGTGCACTCCCAGAGACACATTCTTTTCCCCCCTCTCTCCAAAACCTTTGACCTCTGAAGTTTTTCTTTTTGCTGTCACATTTTTACCACCTAACATCTTGTTTGTGTTGCTTTTTTCTTCTTCCACTAGAATACACACTAGTCAGTGTTCATCAGGGTAGGACGGTGGCCCCTTGTTACCTTGGCTAACACACAGGAAACAGTATTGTGAATGAAGATACGAAGCAAAGCTGGGCATGTGGGACATGCCTTTAATCCAAGCACTCGGAGGCAGAGGCAGGCGGATCTCTGAGTTCAAGGTCAGCCAGGCCTATATAGTCTGCATCAAAAACAAAACAACAAAAACAAACAAAAAGCATTTTGCATTATAGAGACTTGGTAAATACCTTAAAAAAAAAAAAAAAAGGCAAGCTTTCCTTGTGGATCCATCACACTCAGTTTAAAAAAAAACAAACCTGGAAAATGGACTGTCCCTTGGACCTTTAACCCATTAAAAATAAGACTGACAGGAGTTCCCTGATTGTTACAACTGTATTTCGACTTCTTTTCCTCCCAGGGGAATTGCTCAGGAAAATTAGGGATGGGAAAGTTCTTGCAACTGTGACTATTGGAGAATAGTCCCAGTTACCCTAACCCAAAACTCTAAAGCAGGCCTAAATGTACATCCTCTAACCAGTCTGAGGATCCAGGAGGAGGGTGCCTCTGCATACTGGTTCACATTGCCTCTCAGGTAGGCCTTTATATGAGTTTAGAAAAGACCTATTGCTCCTATACAAATCACTCTAAAATTAACAAAAAGCATTAACACTAGTCTGACAACGAATACCAGTCTTTATTTTCCTCCATGGCTCACTACCCTGCTCCAGCTTTAGTGAGGCCCCTAGTCCCCCTACTCATGGCCCTGACAGTTGGACAACAATACAGTAAAAATACAGTAAAAATCTTGGTCCTAAGAGAACAATATAATTGCTTAGATGAGTCTAAGATTTGACTCATGCCCATAGAGCCAGTGGGGAATGTAATAGGGCACCTTCTTCAGCATAGCTACACCACGTGAAAGTTCAGGCCGACTCTAGTTTCTGAAATTATCAGGCAATTGGCCCAGGGTTTGGAACTCTGGTTGTCTTGGGAACAGGTCAGAGCATCCTAGAGTGCTTCTGCTAACTGCAGATTTATGGCTTCTGTAGGTTATGCTTGGCTTGCTTCTGCGAAATAGTAATTATTGCTTAATAGAATAGAAATTATTTACCTGTATGCTTGGGAACCTAAACTTTTCACTCCTGGTTATAGTTTTTCTGTACAAAAAGTACCCCACAACATTTAGAGGTTCCTAGGATACAGTTGCTATGTAATAGAACCCCCTAGAGGGAACTTTGTGACTAGTAAAGACAGAAAGACAGCGTAGAGTAACAGCAGGATTGATGACGTCAGTGTATAGAAGCGGAGGAAGCAAGTTGTGTTTGGGGAGTTTGGATGGAAAATTGTATTTTCTTATGTATTTCCTTGATAATGCTTGCTCAAGCTTAACGCTCAATGATTGGCTTCTGTATTCTGCTTGATTGCCTAGCAACATGAGCACTATAAAAGAGCCAGAGCACTTAGGCTTGGGGCTGCACTTGGACCCTCTAGGAGTGTAGCCCGGCCATAAGAAAAAGGCAAACTGAAATGACTGAATATGGTTTGTTTCCTTTTATAATCTAGTAAGATATTTCATTAACAAGAAAGGCTATATTGGCCTGGAGAGTTGGCTCCGCTGTTAAGAACACTTGCTGTTCTTACAGAAAACCAGAGTTTGGTCGCAGCACCCGCATGGTAGCAGACAACTGTCCATAACTCCAGTTGCAGGGCTTCCAACGTCCTCTTTTAGCCTTCTTGGGCATAGGTACACACAGTGCACATATATGCATGTGTGTGGGCAAAGCATTCATACACATAAAAATAAGTTCTTTTGCTGGGCATAGTGGCACACACCTTTAGTCCCAGCACTTGGGAGGCAGGGGCAGGCGGATCTCTGTGAGTTGGAGGCAGCCTGATCTACATAGTGAGTTCCAGGCCAGTTGGGGGTCCCAGGCTTGCCTCACTGTATAGCCAAGGATAACCTTGAACTAAGGCTCTTCCTACCTCCACCTCCCAAGTACAGGGATTACAGGTGTGCACCAGCATGCCTGGTTTATGCAGGGTTAGGGCTTAAACCCAGGGCTTCATGTGTGCTGGGCTGGGCAGGCAGCATACCACTGAACCACACCCCCAGTCCTTGTGCTGATTTTTGGTCAACAGTATACAGCAGGTGAAGCACTTAACCACAATTTGTTGAAGGTGACTGTACTCTCAGATCCTGTGCTCGGTACTCATTTTACCATCCTTGGAAGGTAGAACTACTTCATGTCACAGGTGACACATCTGAGATGGTTGCAGAGAATCGAGCAAAGTCCCTAAGTTCTGACTTCCCTTCACTTTCTGCTGCCTCAGGTAGGAGAAGCTATTCTTTTGGTAGCTGCAACATCAGGCTTCTAAGAAAGGAGTTACCACCCTTTTGGCTTGTGGATCTCTTTGAGACTCTGATGAAAGCTACCAAGACCTTCCAGGGAGTGCACATGTATACTAGGCATGTTCACCTGCGGCCTGGCCCAGGATAGCTGTAAGTGTGGCCCCATACATTTGTAGATGACAGTGTCATGTCACAGTGTCAGAAAGTTGGACACACACCCCCATAGTGCCTGTCCATTTTGCATATAATTTCAGGAGTAAATCAACTTCTTGATGTCCATGGACCCCCAGTTAAGAATTGCTGTCTTCCTGACAAAATGCAGATTCGAGGACTATAGAAATGGAGTGGAGCTGTAACTGGGTGAATGCCTGCCCAGCACATGCAAGTCCCTGGGTTCAATCCTCAGCACCTTAGAAAGAGAACAGGCATGAGGTGTGTTCTAATAGCTATTCCCCTCCCTCAGGCTTTGCAAGTGCAAGTTCCTTAGCTTCTGCTGGGACCCCTTGGCTGCCTTTAACTCACCCATCCAACCCTCCTCCCCAGTGAGAAAACCACTGCAAGGAATTGGGTGCCCAAGGCCAAGTGCCTGCTGTTGGGCTGTTTGCCAGGCTGTAGCAGGAAATGCCTGCTATGGAAACACAGAAAGTAGGTAGTCAGCTTCTCTGGAACATGTTTGTATCCATGTATATTTGAATCTGATCAGCGTAACAGATTCAAGCTCAGAAACGATTTGCCCCAGTTGCTTGGTCAGGCAGGTCCTCTTTTAGATCTTCTTACCTGAATTGCCCTTAAAGCCCTCATGATAACAGCCACATCTAGAAACGCATCGTAACGTTTTAGGGGGCTCAGTGTGTAAATAAAATGGTACCAACTCGAGGCAGCAGACTTGGTAGTTCTCGCGTAGGAACAGTGCCCGAACACCTCTGTGTCTCCATCTCCATGTTCATTTGTTCTCTCGAGTGCTGCTCCACTTCCCAGTGTCCATAGTCATAGAAACCACAGGATTGAATGCTCACCGCTGTACATACGGTAGTGGACAGGGTCTTTCAGCATGTGCTTTGGGTCTGACAACAGGCTTACTGCAGGGGAAGCTGTCTTGGGATGACAGCCTGATGAAGGGAGGTCTGTATTCTGACATCTGCCTTTCAGTCTGACCACTGAGCTCTGAGTTGCTTGAGACTCCAGATTGGGTGCCTTTCAACCTCCAGAGAAAGAAATGTACACATGTCTTGTGTCATTGGTTACAGGAGACTGGAAAGGGGTTGTGGATATTGGAGCCCATTTGTGTTATTAGCAGAAGAGCTGTATTTATTATATATTAATACGGTATATTGTATATGAATGTTCGTAAATGCAGCTTCAGGGAGAGCTTTATTGAGACAGGTCTCCTTCCATAGCCAAGGCCAGCTTCAACCCGTGATCTTCTGCCTCAGCCTGAGTGCCATGTGCCATCGAGTCCGGCTTCTGCACGCATACCTTTAGTTCTTTAAACTATTGTCAACTGCACTTGTTCTTGTGTTATAAATAAATGATACTGTAAGGAAGTCTGGTTTTTAGTTTTCTTTTTAATATATTGAAACCCTTTTAAGAAACTGTTGAGTGCTGAGATCTTCCTGCTGGTCTTGCAGTGTGCAGAAACTTAGGTGTCCGCGCACACACGCACATGCATATGCATACTTTTGCCTTGAGTTTCTAAGAGCTCCTGGACCATTCTGTGGACTCTGGGGTCAGACTGTATTGAAATCAAGGTGTCATTTACTGACCGGTGGTTTTGGGAAAATTGTCTAAACTCTGCCACAGTTTTACATTTATGAAGTAGTAATACTGACGATACCCTTTATGAAGACTTAGGAGGATTTGCCGAATATCAAGCCTCAAGTTCTTGGCATACAGTAAGAGCTCAATCAGTGTTAGCTCTCTTTGTTATTTCATAGCTATGTTATTGTCTGAACATTTTCTTTGCAGATTTAGTCACATTAATTGTAAATACGAAACCTTCAATTTTCATCATTGTATGGTGAATTACACTGCATTAAAAAAATGGAATTTTCAGTGCGTGGTGGGTAGCCATTGAAGTGCACAGGGGCCTCTAGCCAGTGTGTCAGTTTGAAAACTGGAGAAATGATGATTTTGATCAACACAGTGCTCAAACACTAACTCTGGGAAAAAAACAATCTACTGCGAGGCTTACCAGTGTTATTTAACCCATTAACTTTCTGCTTCTTTAGGACACCTTGAAAGAGTGTTCCAACCTGGGAAGTTCCACCTTTGGTCAAAAGTTGGCTATTTTGTATTTTACTAGAACTGGTTAATTGCTTTTTTTCTATTTCTAATGTTTTTATAAATTGCTAATGACTCTTCTGGACTACTGAGGAAGATTATAGATTTATAAGCAGACCTCAAGCCCGAGAGCATAAGTCATTTGTCTGTGGTGTTCTAGATTTCTAGTGATCCTGACTGTCTTAGGGCAGATGGTTTATCCAATTATTTTAGAACAATATAACTTCTCCATTAAAATTCTACAAAAACTTTAAAACATTTTAGGCTGCAGAAGATGTCAATGTTACTTTTGAAGATCAACAAAAAATAAACAAATTTGCCCGGAACACAAGCAGAATCACGGAGCTTAAAGAAGAAATAGAAGTGAAAAAGGTACTGGTCAACTATGCCTTGTCCCTCAGTGCTGGTCAACTATGCCTTGTCCCTCAGTGCTGGTCAACTATGCCTTGTCCCTCAGTGCTGGTCAACTATGCCTTGTCCCTCAGTGCTGGTCAACTATGCCTTGTCCCTCAGTGCTGGTCAACTATGCCTTGTCCCTCAGTGCTGGTCAACTATGCCTTGTCCCTCAGTGCTGGTCAAGTATGTCTTGTTTCCCCAAATGTTTATGCTATAACTCTTTTCATTTAACTAGTATTAACCTCTTTCTGAGTTCCTTGTTGCCGATGAGCCAGTCTACTCCAGTTACTTTAATAGCAGTTCTGCTTTTCTTTACATGTTTGTTTGAGATAGCATCTTGCTTTGTCATGTCAGGTGTCCTAGAGCTCACCAAGTGATCTGTGCTGGCCTCAAACTCGTGATCCTCTGCCTCAGTCTCCTGATTTCTGTGATGATAGAAGGTTTGAGAAATGAAGCTCAGCTCAGTAAGTCATCCACCCCCTTCCACCCTTGCTGGGTGTGATAGCGCGTACATGCCTTTAGTCCCAGCATGCTGCAGAGGCAGGTCAGTCCCTAAGTTTGAGGCCAGCCTGGTCTACATAGTGAGTTCCAGGTCAGCCTGGGCTACATAGTTCAGGTCAGCCTGGGCTACACAGTGAGTTCAGGTCAGCCTGGGCTACATAGTGAGTTCCAGGTCAGCCAGGGCTACATAGTGAGTTCCAGGTCAGCCTGGGCTACATAGTGAGTTCCAGGTCAGCCAGGGCTACATAGTAAGTTCCAGGTCAGCCAGGGCTACATAGCGAGTTCCAGGTCAGCCAGGGCTACATAGCGAGTTCCAGGTCAGCCTGGGCTACATAGTGAGTTCCAGGTCAGCCAGGGCTACATAGTGAGTTCACGTCAGCCAGGGCTACATAGTGAGTTCCAGGTCAGCCTGGGCTACATAGCGAGTTCCAGGTCAGCCAGGGCTACATAGTGAGACCCCGTCTCAAAAGAAAGACAATCAAACCAAAGAAAAGGGAGATGTGAGATAACAGAGTTGACGAAGTCTTTGATTGTAGTGGGAGTTTTACTCATGAGTTCAGTCCCACATCTGAGAGTTTGGCTCCTGTGTTCACTGATCCTGGAGCCCTGCAGACCAGGGACACGGGCTGCTGCTGTAGCCTCTGCAGTCCGTTGAGCCTGGGCTGTGCTGCCTCCTCATGTAGCTCTCCTGAATTCTCCAGTTCAGCACGTTGTCCTGGAGGGTTTTAGAATGACCTGCTTACACCCTCTTCAAGGAAGGCTGGGAGAGCAAGTTGTTTTCTGGTGCTTCGGTTTTGTTTCTGTAGGAAGGCAGGATTCACAACATGGGAAATGGTTAAAGTGGAAGTGAGTGGCCATTGGTACCCACTCCCCACCGCAGGGAAGGTAGTAATTCCATCTGCAAGTGTCTGGAGAGTAGTGAGTTAGCTCTGAGTTGATTCCATGTGAAATGTTATCTATGTGTAAGAAATTCAAGTCTTATGATAGCCCTTGTGAGCTGCCCCCTCAGAGAGCCAATTTCTCTAGCTTAAAATCAGCTCTTGGGGCTGGAGAGCTGGCTCAGCATTTAAGAACACTGCTCTTGCAGAGGACCCAGGTTTGATTCCCAGCACCCACATGGTGGCTAACAACCATCTGGAACTCCAGTTCCAGGGGATCTGATGACTTCTTCTGACCTCTGCAGGCATTGTGTGACACAGGTGCACTTATATACATGTGGGCAATAGACTTATGTACATAAAAAAATAAGAATAATGGAATATTTTTAAAAATCAACTCTCCACTTTGCTGGGAAGTTTTGACTATCCAATGGCTTTTCAATTTCCCACTTGCAGAAACAGCTCCAGAATCTAGAAGATGCTTGTGATGACATTATGCTCGCAGACGATGAGTGCTTAATGATTCCTTACCAAATTGGAGATGTGTTCATTAGCCACTCCCAAGAAGAAACCCAAGATATGCTAGAAGAAGCTAAGGTGTGTGGGGGCCCCAGTGAAGAAGTCCTGATTCTAGGAATTCTGGGAAGTCTGTCCTTACAAAGAACATGCAGTTGCAGGTAGTGGGAGGTGATGGATGTGCTCACCATTCTGGGGTTTGCTCCGAGCCCAGGCAGGCTCAGGAGGCTCTGCCGGACGATTATATTTAATCTGAATAGTGATCCATTATTACCTCATTTTGGAATGAGGGGCAGGGACTGGGAGAGGTTATAGGATTATCACCATGACACTAGACTCTGGTCTCGGACCCCAGGCCTTGCTATAAATTGAGTGTTGAGAAAGGAAGTAGGAAATAACTCCTCAGCACCAGCACCCAGTGCTGCCCCCTGCAGGGAGCTTCTCTGGGGAGCTCTGCTTCCGCTGGGAGCATTTCTCTCTTGGATGCTTGTTTATCTAGCACACACTCAACAGGAACCTGCTTGCTCAGCCACATAGGCCTTCAGAACATCGGCTTTCTTCCACTCCTTTAGTGCTGCCTTTATGCCACATTGGTGGGCACTGATTTGGCTGCTCTGCTTTCATTAATGTCAGTTTGTTTCCCTTGTTTCACTGTAGTAATGTTCCAGTGAGCCATAAGTCTTTGTTCGCGTTCAGAAAATTGTTTTGAGGAAATAATCAGAGAAGTGTAATTACTGGGTCAGAGTCTGGATTTTTTAGTGGTGTTGGAGTCATGTGACATAGCATAGGAAATTAGACTCCATGGGCCCTCTAGCTGCCTGGGCGAGAAGCAGCCACAGCGTGAGAGGAGCCAGTGACAGTGCTTCCTGATATTTTCACTTAATTAGCTTGAATATTACTTAAAGTGAGTCTTCTTTAAATGTCTAAAACAAAACTTCCTATGGCTTAAACCTGCATCTAATAAACGCTGGGCAGAGCTGGCACTTCTGAAGTTAGTATGCTATGTTAGAGACCAGGCAGGACCACGAGAAATTGTTCACCAAAGTCTGTATATGATGCTTTGTCAGCATATACTAACTTAGGAATTAATTTTATCTTAGCTGTCACAAGTTTTGAATGAGCAGAAACTGAGGAAACAGCCCCGCCATTCTCTGCCACCAGCAAACATTGATCTGAATTAAACATCCACATTCAGGGTTTTGTCGCTGATCAAATTTCTGCTGTTATTTTGCTGGCCATCGGAGTTTAGAGTTCTTGACCTAAAATTTTTGCCAAGTATCCAGACACACATGCTCAGAAATCATCCATTTGAATCCAATTAATTCAAACCATTTCTTTTCCAGAAAACTTTGCAAGAAGAAATTGACACCTTAGAGTGCAGAGTGGCATCAATCCAGCGGGTCTTAGCAGACTTGAAAGTTCAGTTATATGCAAAATTTGGCAGCAACATAAACCTCGAGGCCGATGAAAGCTAAACTTTTTATAATACTTTTTTATTTGCCTTACCAAACTGGAGATGGTTTTATTAGCTACTCTCAGAAAGAAACCCGTGAAGTGTTAGAAGAGGCCAAGAAAATGTTGCCAGAAGAAACTGACATATTAGAATGCAGAGTGGTGTTGGAGACAACTGCCCTGGTTGAACTCTGCAGAAAGCATGCTTGACTACATGTGCAAAATTGTCAGCAGCCAAGATTGTCTATGATGGCAGAGCCAAATAGGTATGTATACCAACTCAAGGTTCTGAAGTGCAGAGTCCCTTAACTTATGTTTCGACTAAACAAACTATGCCTTATTTACACTGTTGTGTGAATATCTGTTCTATACCTTGCAAACAGGCCTGGTTTTGTTGCTAATTATTTCCTGAGTTCTTGCAGAGCAATGTTCTTTGATCTGTGTACACTTTATTCTTTAATACCTTCTTGGAACACTCGATCCCCGTGAACAAAACCTTGAGAGTTAGAGGCTCAGAGCTCTTTGTTCTATGGAACGAGGAGACTCCTGGTCCCCAACCTTCTTAAATATTGAATGGTCTGTATGTGATATTTTATTATTAGCTACCTTGCTATCCTTCCTTCTTGCCCACCACTACCCAGCCATGGAGGACATACACAACCACATCGTTTCAGTCCAGCAGGTATTAGCAGAATTTAAAATTCAGTTACATGCAAAATTCGTCAGCCACATAAACCTTGAATATGATTTCAAATGGGTAAGTTCCCTTCTTCAAATGACATGGAAATTAAAACTTTCTTTTCAAAAATCTTTTATTTAAGTAACATCAACTTGCCTATTTTCACACATCTTGCTTATTTATTTTATATTTTTAAAAGAAGACAGTATTCATGTATGTATTTTGCATAATGATTATATCAATTTTAGGGGCTTTATGTCATATTATTAAAATCTGTTAAACAGTCTTCTGTGTTTCTTTATGATCATTTTAGAATACTAGTTGTGATTTTCATTTTTAAGAAAACTTAGGGTGGGTGAGATGGGTCAGCAGGTAAGAGTGCTTGTCTCAGCCTGATGGCCTGAGTTCCATCCCTGGGACACACATGGTGGAGAGAGAACCCCCTCCCACAAGCTGTCCTCTAGCTTCCACAAGTGCACTGTGGCGTGTACCTCCCCTCCCAACACAGAGTCAGTAAATGTAAGTGTAAAACTAGCTGCTGGTGCTCTAGGCAAGGAAAAGGTTTTTTTCCCTTAATTATTTTTATTTATGTGAGTGACTTTATGTGTACTGTGTGTGTGCAGGTGCTCTCGGAGACCAGAGGGTGTCAGATCTGGAACTGGAGTTACAGGTGATCGTGCACCACCTGATGTGAGTGCTGGGGACTGAATCAGTCCTGACTCTTCAAGAGGTTAAGCACTCTTATCTGCTGAGCTATCGCTTCAGCCCAAGGAGGTTTTGTGTGTGTGTGTGTGTGTGTGTGTGTGTGTGTGTGTTTTAAGAAAACTTGGTTTTTATATCTCTGATTTTACTTGCTGAGAAAGTCCAACACAAAGATGCCTGTCTGCCACTGACTTCACAGCTAGAACTTTGTCACTTACTAAAACCTGTATGTATGTATTATGCCTGTATGTATGTATTATACCTGTATGTATGTATTATGCCTGTATGTATTATACCTGTATGTATGTATTATGCCTGTATGTATGTAATATGCCTGTATGTATGTATTATGACTGTTATACTTAGGCATACATAACGTATCTTTCAGTGTTACAGATGTTGGTAAAAGAACAGGTAAGGTTGAGATATGACATATCAGTCTTACAGAGACACAGATATGTTGGAAATCAAGAGCTCTATCAAAAGTTTATTTAAAAAACTTTTTTTCATAATTTATTTGTGTGCTCATGTGTGTTGTGTGGGTACCCATAGGCCACAGGGTACATGTGGAGGTCAGAGGACAGCTTGCAGGGGTCGGCTCTCCCTCCACCATGTTTGAACTCAGGTTGTCAGGCTTGATGGGAAGTGCCTTTACCCACTGAGTGAGCCATCTTGCCAGTCCCAAAATGTTTGCTTTTTAAAAGATTTACGTACTAGACTTTCAGTGCTTTGTGTGTAAACGATGTTCATATTGATGAAAGATTTAGATGTTGGGTGGCTGTGTGTTTAAAACAAGACATATTTTGAGGTAAGTTTTGTTAGTCCCTCCCACCCCATGCTGTCCCCCAAAAGACCAGTTTTGGAATTTGGAAGGTTTCTGTGTATTAACTTTCCAGCAGATGGCGCTGGTATTCCAGAAGACCTGGGGAAGAATCGTAATGCAAAATGAGGCTCTTAGGATTAGCATAATTTTAGAAGAAATATTGTGTAACTTTCGAGGTTCTAAACCTTGTGGTAGTGTTTTTGTTTTGTTTTCGCTCTTGCTAAATGTCTGTAAACAAGCTTAAAGACAGAATTTATAGCCAGATGTGGTGGTCTTTAATCCCAGCACTCGGGAGGCAGACACAGGTGGACCTCTGTGAGTTTATGGCCAGCCTCGTCTACATAGTGAGATGGGCTACTGGGAGATTTTGTCTCAAAAAATCCAAAAAAATATGTAATTTCTAAAATTCACATGAACTTAAGGGCACGCTGTTTTTAAAGACTGATTTTTAATAATTTTGTGCTTGGGTGGGTTTGTGCACAAGAGTACAGGAGCCTTCAGAGGTCAGACTGGGTTGTCAGATCCCCTGGAGCTGGAGTGCCAGGCGGTTGTGAGCCACCCAGTGTGGGTGCTGGGAACAGAACTCAGGTCATCTGCAGGTACAGCATGTCAACCACTGAGCCATCTCTTCCGCCCCAAGGCAAACTTTTAAATTGCTGCAAAAAGGATTCTAGCAAATGGCTCTTGCAAGGCCATTTCTTCTTGCAGGCATTTGGTTGGTGTGCTTTTAATGAGGCTCAAAGGTAATTCAGTGAGGAAATAGGAGGCATGTCCGAAGAGAATAATCTGCTACATGGGCCATTCTGTGGTGATCTGCGACAGCTCCCTTCAGAAATCCACCTGGGTTCCACTGTTGCCGACTCAACTGGATCAGAGGTCTAGAAAGTCCTTTGCAGAAGGCTGGTGAATGGGAGGGTCTGACAGAAGGGGGTGAGTGGTACCAGTTTAAGAATTTTAATGACAAATCATCCAGCTAAATCCAACTAAATCCTGTTCTGCACGTTGACCAGGCAAACCTAGTAAAAGCCAAACCTCTGATGCTCCCGAACCCGGGAAGGCTGCTGTGGTGTTAACAGGAGCTTAATCTCCTGAGCTGCTGCCCTTGTGTGCTGTCCACTTGCCATTTCTAACAGCCAGTGCCATCCTTGTCTAGGTCTTGAGGGCTCTAGTCAAAACCAGTACTAGACGAGGGAGGGAGACTCGAACAATTATAGAGATAACGCGGCAGGAATTTGGTGGGGTCTCTAAGGATTGGGAATGGAGAAGTACTACAGGTGACTGTTTGTTATTGGGTTGGGCTTTCTGCAAAGAACTGGAGGTGGAGTTACCAGATGTCGCCTTCCCTGGGGCACTGGGTCAGTTGGCAAAAAAGAAAAGGAAGGCTAGGACTTGAAGAGGTGATGACACACAAGTCCTGACAGTGACCAGAGAAATGAGGTGTTGGGAAGAGGACGTAGCCAAACATAACTTGGTTTTGTGCACAAGCCGATATTATGCCTACAAGCTTTTTTTTCTCAGGAAAGTCCAGTTTGTTGCCACAATAAATCCTGAGTGCTCCCATGATAAGTCACAGGCCGCCACCCTGAAGCTGTGTTTACCAGCACACTCTCCCTAGTGAACCCATGTCCCACCCGGCCCATGACTCTTATTTTTATTAGCCTGATGCCTGACCACTTTTGGCCCCTGCCAACCTGCTGGTGCCACTGACAAAGGTACAAAAGTAAGAGATTCCTCGTCTGCTGTTGGGGCAGGGAATGGGGTGAGGAAGGGGAGGAGGAGGAGGAGTGTGAGCTTGGCATTGGATGCTAAGGGCATCATCTTGGCAGAGTGTGATGGAGCTGGACTGCTGTAATGGAACCTGAGGGAGCGGGGGCTGAGGTAAATGTGGGAAGTACTTAACATTTGAGCTACATAAAAATCACCTGGAGATTGTTAAAATACGGAGTCTCCTCTCTTCCCTGTTTCCTCTCCCTCTTCCCTAACCTCCTCTCCACTCTCCCCTCTTCTTTTCTTTTCAGACAGGGTGTTGCTATGTATGTATCCCAGGCTGGCCTTGAACTTGTGACCCTCCTGCCTCAGCTGCTTGATCTGTGGTTACTGGCATGCGCCAGCACACCCAGCAGCCGCTGCATTTTGAACTCCCACGTTGTGCTATTTGTCCATAGGTCATACCTTAAACAGCTAAAGTAGCTTGTCCTGAGAGACAGGTAGACCTGGATGCAGGTGGGAGGAAGAACCATCCAGCAGAGGGAAGGACTACCAGAGGATAGGATTCCACAGGCCAAACCCAGAGAGGTGGAGGCAGCGGGGCTTGGTGGACAACGACGCCCAGCATCTGGGTGGCCAGTGAGAACTCAGCTGATGGGGCTTCATTGGCTGACTCGGAAGTTCTTTCAGATGAAAAGGTTAAGCCAGGACTGGGGAGACGGCTCAGTAAAGTGCCTGTAGTGTAAGCATTAGGACCTGAAATAGATCCCCAGAAGTCAGAGAAACTGGACTTGGTGTGGTGCCACTGTAATCCCAGTCCTGTTGGGGTGGATGGGTGCCTCTCTGAAGCTCCCCCTGGTTATCGAGACCCTGACTCAAAAAGGCAAACTATCAAAGGGAAATACCCAGTGTCGACCTCCATCAGGCCTCCACATATGCACACACAGGCACACTCACCCACATGCACAGCTCTGCACACCAGCACTAACAGGTACCTGTACCACATAAAATATGACATAAAACAAAAACCAGGAAAGGTTAACCAGCCCACACCTTAGCCTCACTCAGAAGCATTGGCTCACTCCCATCAGAGAGCGGTTCCTGGAAGGAGCTGACCCCAGGAGCTACCCCTAGGGGGCAGGGATG